CATTGGTTGTAATTTACGTTGTCCTCTTCAATTTATTCATTACTTCGCCCGAGTTTTAATGATACTTTGTGTACGAGTATATTTGCCGTACGTTCTAGCAATATTTTGATCAATATTAGACAATCCCTTGGTATTCATAATTTCGTATTCTTCAAATAAGAGTAATGGAAGTTAAGAATTTTGACTACCGCTACTTTTTGAGGTGGTCTTTTCTGTATCATTCTTGAAAAAATCATAATTTTTTTTAGAAATATTACAACGGTTCTTGTGCTAACTGAAAGATATAAAGCAAATTTGTTGAATCACCATCTATTTCTAATGACACCTTCATTCGCCTGGTTTAAAAAGTCTCCGAAACTTTACAAATAGCTATAAAAGCTTATATGACAATTCTTATGAAATATTAGACTTCGCTATAAAATGATCTCTGCTTGTTTGTCTACTCTGTTAGCCTTTTATTGCTTTTACAATGAATTTCACTGTAATTCCTTTGGTCATTTCAGAAGCTAAAATGCATTTAGAGCGTTTGGTGCGAACAACAACTTCATCTCAAATATAACAACCGTTATGATGACAGCAAAACGTGGAAAAAGAGCAATTACTAGCCTCTGGAATTGTGGCAGCTAGGTAACATGCAAGGTTGAGTTTGCGAACAAGCTAGAGTCATAATTCAATGTGTTTAAGTATATGTAACTGTTTATTTACGAACCCTGTAGGAATATTCTTATTGAGCCTACTTACCTAGAATTTCAAGTAAAATGTTGTATACTCTATATGAGAACCGTTCCGTTGGTCGTGATTTAAAGTTGCACAAAAAATGTTCGAAAAAGTTTCTAATACAACCGTTAAGAGGTGGTCAATTGTTTTTTGGAGTTTCAACTTGCCATGTAAATACCTCAAGTGTCTTTAAAATTTCAATTGGAAAGTATTTTCCGATCGACCATAAATTTAATAATTTTTTAAGCCGGAAATGACAGATAATTATTCATTTCAGGAGGATAACGCCGCACACTAAAGTGCTCAGTCCAAACACTGAGAATAAAATATTTATGAGTGGATTTTAAGTGTTGATTTAGCTGTGGAACCCAAAAAACGGAACTTATCGCACTGCCCAGTGATCAGTCTGAACAAGCAAATGGACGTAGAGGTCAGTTTTTCATTTTACAAACGCGCAAATTTTGCAGATGACTTCAAGCCCAAATTACTAAGGGTTTTTTTCTCAGAATTATATTGGGTTGGCAACTAAGTAATGCGGTTTTTTTAAAAAAAATCAAAGACAATTTTTTCATGGAACTAAATAACTTTATTCTGTAATGTATTGCCCATTTTGATCAATGACCTTTTTCCATCTTTCAGGCAGCATCATAATCCCACGTTCATAAAACTTCTGATTTTTATTAGCAAAAAACTGAATCAGGTACGATTTTACAAGGTCAGGACTATATGGTGGATGTGGCAAAACATCCCAACCAAGCTCCGATAATTTTTGCCGAGTGACTAAAGATGTGTGTGGCCTTGCATTGTCATGATGGAATATCGATTCGATTCGATTTATCAATTCGGGCCGCTTTTCTTCAACTGCATTGTTTAATTTCGTTAGTTGTTCAATGTAGACAATTCCAATTCAATTATAATCCTACCAAACTGATTACTTTACCGGTCACCGAAGAAATTAATGGTAATGCAAGCTTTTAAAAATCTCTTAGTTGTTTGGCGAGATATTTTGATGAATTAACATTTAATAACAATAAACATTAACCTAACTTTATTAACCCTTCTTCATTGATGAATCTTCTCATTTTTGAAAACACGCTAGGGCTTAAAAAATAGCTAGTCGAGGGGTAACTAATAAAAGAAAATAAATTTAATTTTCGATTTAAAATATGACTCGACAGAGTGAGTGGTGTTCACGTCCCCAAACTGCCCGACTGCGACAATTTTGGCAATATTTCGTAAAAACAATGGCAATGACGATTGACTTAAGTTGTTGGTGGAAGAACGAATCGTTTCAAAATCTGAAATTCTCATAAAGCTTAGCTGACTCGGCGAAGTTTGTACCGTCAAACCAAGGAATGATCGAGACCAATTGATTGTTGCTCATATTTTTGCCTATATTTTGATTCGAGTATTTTATATGTTGATTGGTCAGTTTAAAAAATAGGCGAGGAGCGTGAGACCGCAGGCGGCCTTACTTAGACCATCATTAGACAGATTGTGCTCCCGTGTGGTAACCAAAATAAGCCTTATCCAGCAACTCACTGGGTGTGGTAAAAAACCATATTTTATTCACCTCAGCTGCCCATTGTCTCTTAAATTGAAGCATTGGGGTTCGATAAAAATGCCGCAGAAGACTGAATGCTGTGCATTCGCAGAGATACTTATACATTATAATGTACCAGCGTTTCATTATGCTCCGTGCATGCTCTGCATTCCGCCGAAACCACTTTTTGAATTTTCTGAAGTAACTGCCTCCGACCGGTCCAATTGGTCTGCTTTCCGTTTCCTTCTATTTCTATATGACAAATGTCGCCAAAAAAGTTCAAATGTACAGAAAGAACACAAAAAAAGAGGAGTACGTTCCTTCAAAGTGAATATAAAAGTAAAAAAAATTTCCTGGTTTGGCGGCTCTTTGCCAGTGCGGCTTTAGAAGCGAACCAATTATTGGCTATGAAATCAAAAAAATTTTGTTACTGAGTGTTTACTGAAGCATCTTTAGCCTTTAATTAAGCTTCTCTGAGTCCTTAGTACTCTTTTGTCCTGATCTCGCGACGTCATAACAGAAAAATGGCTTTAAAGTGGTACCAAGCCAATAGAGTGACTGGTGGCTGTTGTTCCTAAAGAGGTAAGTTTTACAAAACTCTGCAGAGTGCTAATAATGTTAGGTTCCTACTGGACTCACCACTCCAACTAAAGTGAATAACGTTAAACTCGCAGCTCCTTTGATGCCATCGTGTATATACTTGTATGTATCTAAGTATTTAGGTGAGTTCAAGTGCTCGTGCTGTAAGTGTCAGCTGAAACGATTCATACGCAAAGTAGTAGATCAGCAAATTAGGAAATGTGCACAAAAGATGCAAAATGACAAAGTACTAAAGGTAACTAATGCTTACACACAAACAGCACCGAATGCACTGAGAGCTCTATGGCACCGCCTGCTCTTGTTGCCGCCACCATTGACTCATGAAAAACGTCCGGCAACCAATTACGCAGTGACGCTGGAAACTTGCAACTTGCAATGCGGCAAGTATGAATGGGTAAGTGCAGCGAATGAGTTGAGATGTTGTTGGCATTAAGGAAAGTGCAACGCAATACTTACGTAAACGTAAAGTTTTGTTAGAATTGTCGGTAATCGGCGTAAGTAGTTGGCACTGCACATTGTTGAAAAAAGTGCCGCAAATAGAGATGCAAAATTGCATGAAAATATAGCTAAGTGCGCACTTATTATTAGGTGCGAGTGCAAGTGGAACAACGGTAAGTGAGGCGCAGTGAGCAGTGGAGCGTTGTAAAGTGAGCGGGTGGCAGTAACAGGAAAGTACATTTATGTAGCGGAGTGTAAGGCAAATGTTGCGAAAATGCTTACCTCTGACACTTGTCAAGCATTCTGACCTGACACTTGTTGCGAGGCACGCATTGTGACTATTCGAAACTAAAAAGAAAGGATAAAGAGGAATTTATTGTAAGACACATTAAAAGTTGTTTGAAGTTGTTAAAAATTCAAAGACCTCGAAGTAATGAGGTGTAAATCCAACTTTCTTCATCATTAAAATTTCAAATTTCAAAATTTAAGGAAATTGAATTTTGAACTGCGCGCTCATTACCTGCCCAAGGCGTGATAATATATTTATGGACTTTTCCAGAAAACCTTTATTTTTACTTTCAGCAGGTACAATTAAGTAGAAAAAGTTGTTTTGGTTTAAACACGCGTTGGATCCCTCTTAGTTCCGGAAATGTCAAAATTTTGTATCATAAATCGATAATATATTATATAATAAGATGTTTTGACTTTGAAGAGACTTTTCTCTTAAACTATTTCAGCAACCAAGAGTAACAATATGAGAATCTTATTGGTTTGCCGTATTTAGGTAGCAATTTTAACAATGCAAGCAATCAATATCACGCCGTCTTAGTTTCGAAGAGCTGATGTATCGTCATATAATCCAATATTCACATGAAATTTGAAGTCTGTATCTAAATCCATGTTCAAGTGAAAAGCCAAGTCAACATCTATTTTAAATTTAAACTAATTTCTAATATCTAAAGCAGAAAATGGTAGTTTTACTTCAAAAATTTTAAAGATTCCAGCTCACATAAATTTATGAATATATTCATGCCAGAGAGGATAAGAAGCAATATTTATTTTGTTCGAAAATTTTCTGACCAAAAACTTTTTCCGGAAACGAACCGCGCATACAAGCGATCACATTCGGCATACTTCGTATATTTCGGCAACTTGAATGTCTCGTAATCAGAATTCCTTCACAATTCGAGAAAAGTAAGAAATATCAGGGTTGAAGAAACAGAAAGAAATAATGAATTAAAAGCAGGACTTTGTTGTAATCGGACTCATCAAAGTGTACTTAGGGAGTGCTAGTGCTTTCTGGGGTATAGCAAAAATATGGATTTGCGTCAGGTATACAATGTTGTTAACGCAGACCTGGTTAAAAAAATTATTATTTTCATTTCATACCTCTAATTTCACGTGCTTTAATTTATTGCAACTTGCAGTCATTGTCTTGATTAAATTGCACAACACGCTCAATACACTTTGTGTATACCTGCGTAGAGGGAGGTGATTTTCTTACAATGCCCACACTTGGTGTGGTCATGCCCCTGAGAATATAGGCTACCTAGCGCTCACTCCTTTTTGTTTTCATAACTTCTTCGTCTTTGATTGTCTTTATCTAGTCGTAGTAGATGATTAAATATCTGAAGGTCATATAAAAGATGACGGAAGGCAAAAGGCTACCTGAGTGGGAATGCTTATAAAAGTGTGACATTTCAGAAATAACAGCATTTACATTTGAACGATTCTCATATTAACAACATAAGCATTAAAAATTAGAAGATATTAGAAATTAGTTCAAGTAAAAAATGGCAGAAGATCTTTACATGGATTTTGATAGTGACTTGGCTTTTCACTTGGACCTGGATTTGGATACAGACTTCAATTTTGATGTGGATATGGGATTCTATGAAGACACAGCAGAGAGAGAACGTGAGGATATTATAAAACGTGACATGCAGCACAGCTCTTCGAAACCACTGCTTCACTATCATCTCTTCGTCTACCGAAAGGAGCTTAGACGGCGTAAAATGAATCTTTTGCATCTAACGAAGACGAAAATTGATCTCACCGCAGGACTGCTAATAAACTGTGAAGGTAAAATATGTGATTTTTCGCCCCAAGATGTCGACGCCTTCACACGGCAGGTGGATTTCAAGAATCGCTTGGTGCAGCAGCATGGCTTACTACACACCGACATCAACGATAGGGACAGTTAGAAGATTGAAAAATTTGTTCTGTGATTAATTGTAGTTATTTAGAGAAGTGTTTATTAAGTTGTAAAATGAAATTATATTATAAATATCACTTTTGTAAGAATGAAATACAAAATTAAAATTCAATTAACTTGTTTTATATTTTCAAATTGTATACATTTTCTTAACTCGATACGTTCCTGTATCTGTAAATAATTCCGATTAAAGTTCTCTTGAAGTTGTCTCAGAAGTTACGGTTTTTCTTATTCACCTCATAAGTATTTATACTTCGTTGCCAAATAATTATGCAATCGGTTCAGTGAAGTTCTGCTTGAATCGCCGACATCGAATCGATGCAAGGTCTTTGGATATTAGATTTTTATCTGTAATGAGAAACATTAAATGTTCAGGTCGTTAAATTATACGAAGAGTATCGACTGTGATCGCTCAAATGCATGAGTAGAAAGTTTTCGGCCAGAAAATTTTCGGGATAATTTCATAAAATGATACTTTTCTTACTCTCTCTAGAACTGAAATACCTATATTTTTATGTGAAAATGATGTTTTAAATTTTTTAGTAAGGCTTCCGCTTGCATTTGGGTTTACATGGATAATTTTAGTGGAATAGTTTTTTTAACTTTTATATTCCAGATATTTATACCGTATTTTCTTATTACCCATAAATGCTTTAAGTAGCCTCGGAAGATGTAGCTTTAAAGAACTTACTTAATGCTTAGGTTAAAAGAGTAAATCTTGCTGCAAGTGCCAACAAGGGTCTCACGCGGATAGTTTAATATACCGGTCCATTGTGATACCTAAAGCGCCTATACATAAATTGACCATAAAAGTCCTCATGAATCGCCAAAGCGTTTTGAGCCTATCACTATCAATAATTTGTTGAGGCCGTTTATAACCGTGTCTTCAACCTCTCCTGGTTGGCCGAAAATATAACTGTCGAGATGTAGCAATCTCAGTTCAACAAAAGCTACGCAATGAAGAAGCCTGGATATTTCTTCCTACTCTTCCTCTATACAACCTTAACAATTTGCGTCCGTACCTTGCCTCCAATCACATAGGAACTGGTCGTTGACAGACGTCAGAATGCAAGATCTAAAGACCAGTTATCGAAATCAGGTTCCAAACAATATCACACAGCAAGTAAGAATCATTGGCGGCATGGAAATTGAAGGGCTGATTGCATTAATCTTTGACATTGTTCAGGCGTACTAAAGAACTTATTTTGAAACCATTTTATAAATATATAAACGTAAAGATGTATATGGAGTAATATCAGCAGATTGTTCCAAAATCGGGATTGAATAGTTATAGTCCGATTTTAAAAATTTTTAGAGCTGAGATGGCATACCTTAAAGAAAATATTCGTGCAAGTTTTTATTTCTATATATTAATTGCCTGCTTGATTTGTATAGTATGAATGTGGTAGTACATATGTATGATGTGGAAAGTGAAAAAATCAGATGAAATTCAAAATTGTGTTATATGGCAAATAGGCGTGGTTATTGTTCGATTTCGCCCATTTTCGCACTAATATATAGGAATATAAAAATGATCTTATCCACCAAATTTGGTTGAAATTGGTCCAGTAGGTCTGGAGATATGTGGTTTCACCTAAAAGTGGACAGTGCCACGCCCATCGTCTAATTTTGACGGCGCTTCTAAAAAAGCCTTTTGTTCCATCCTGTTTGTAAAATTTATTGTCTCTGACGCATTTAGTTATTGATTTATCACACCTTAAGTAGTTTTTAACAAAACCGTTACATGGGGACTGGGCGGGCTTAACATCCGTCTTCACCTATATTCACACTATGCTAATAAGGATTGAAAATATGTATCCTTTGCAAATTTGAGTGATATAGTTTAACTAGAGAAACAGACAGGCAGTCACTCGGTATTCAACTCGTCTCGTCAACCTATCCATTTATATATACTTGTATATAACGCTATATCTATCTCGATCAATTTCAGGTGATACAAACAACCCTTAGGTGAACAAAACTATTATACTCTCTAGCAACATATTGGAAGAGTATAAAAAAGTATTACTTCATGGGTGAGAAAAAGACATTTAAGTCTCCTCTACCGTACGGACTGACTGACTGCTAATCTGTTGTAAGTATCTCAGTTTTGTCATAATTAAAGCTGACGCTTCGCTGACAGCTTTCCATTTATCAGAGGACTGACACATATGTGCTGTCAAGGTTTCCACCGTTAGACTACCGAGTGTAGATTTTAAATTTTCCCTAATAATCAAAAAACGGGGGCGCTGAAAAAGTGCGTGTTCAGAGCACTATGCAGACTTAAATCATGATGAAATTGGAATAGATACTTTCTAAAACATCCATGCCTACTCAGTATTTGGGTTAGGTCAAAATTTAGATCCCCGTGTCGTCTGTCTATCCACGAATGAATGTCTGGAATTAGTCTGTGGGTCCATCGTCCTTTAGATGAGGTTTGCCACCGTTGCTGCCACATTGTTAGGCTCTTGGTTCTCTCCTATTTTCTCACTCCTGAAAACGGCACTGAGAGCTGGTACAGTCGCGCGAATTCGAGTTCACTTGATATCGATCGGAAAGCACTTATTATTCGGATTGCAGAAAGCCTATGCACTGCGTTTATTTGTCTAGCATATGATTTTATGTCTAGCGCTTGTATCCATATTGGTGCTGCATATAATATCACCGAACTCATTGCTTTTGCTATTAAAAACCGCCGGCTGGAGCGCACGCAGCCTCTATTGGCCATCATTCTCGATAGAGCGTTATAGATTTTATTCGCTTTACCGGAAGTATGCGTCAGGTGTTCTTTAAATTTTAATTTGGAGTCAAGTATTACTAAGACCTAACCTTGCGGTATTCCACCCGAGATAGTGCCCTCGTCGGTGCCGGTGCCGGTACTCGTTATATTTACGAGATATTGGGGAGCGCGTATGTCGTATAGATCTTTGATTATATTTGCCCACTTTGCGGAGTTGAACGCATTCTTCACGTCCAGAGTAATTAGAGCGCAATACTTTTTTGTGCCACCTTTCCATCTGTTGCCACTTACTGCACATTTCGCAATATCAACGACTTATCTTAGTGCGTCAATAGTGGACCTCTTTTTTGTAAAGCCGTATTGTCTTTCTGATAATCCGCCGGCTTTTTGACTACTCTTCTCATAAAAGATGCGCTATTAGGCTGCTGGGACTTATTTTTAAATTTGGACATGCAAATTTTGTACGCAGTTCCCCATGGGTCTATGTTCGCTTCATTACAAAGCTTTTCGAAACTATTTATTTTGCTGCGGGTAATCGCTGACTTCAGGAGCTTCTTATGCCTTTTAAACGTTTCCCTGAACTCAATATCGTTTGTGCCATTCTGGTTATGCTGTAGGCGACGTTTGGCTGGGTGACAAAGTTTCCTAAGCGTGGCTATTTCCTCGTTCCACCAATATACTGGCCCTCGTTTATTCCGGTATGTTCTCCTACGCATAGTTGCGTCGCATGTTGTGACCAGATCTTTCCGCACTGCGAATACCAAGTGGGCGGCATCTTCACCTTGTGTCTTTGCCGCACTCCAGACTATCTCGAAAACGTCTTTATCGAAATCTTTTTGTCTCCAGCTTTGCCTCTGTGAAGAATTGGGGGGGGGGGGGGGGGGGGGGGTAAACGTTTTCCTAGAGAACAGAACTTCATCAATTATAGCCGAGTGATCGCTATTTGTGTAGATGTCTGACACTTCCCACATAATGCGTCTGCTCAATGTGTCATTAGTAAACATTAGGTCTATTTTGGAACCTTTATTTCCTTTATGGTAGGTATTTTTCGTGCCGCTATTCATTAACGTGAGGTTAGTTTGGCTCAGGAATTCTAAAATAAGACGCCCACGATGGTTTGTTCTTTTGCTGCCCCAAGCAGTAGACCATGTGTTAAAGTCGCCCGTTATTATTATTGTTGATTTGTCTCTTGTTTCCAGGGACAGTTCCAGGAGAAAGTCCTCGAAATCTTTAATTGATGCGCTGGGACGGGTATAGCAGCTTAAAAAATATATGTCTTTTATTTTTGCCCATGTGAAACCACTGTGAGCTTGCCTGCGACATAAAAGGTTTCCCTTTACAAGACCATATTGCTGCCTTGCCAGTACTGTCTGTGATCCAAGGGTTTTCCGAACGCTGGCAGTATTGTTTGCTTAATAACGCGATATCAATATTTTTGTCTATAATCGTTTGTTTGAGCAGGTCTTTTGCTGCAACACAGTGATTTAAATTTAGCTGCAATATCTTCTATCTATTATTTTAGTGACTTCATCACCTTCAGATATTTCGGGCACTTCGTACTCAAGATTGAGTGATCCCCTTTACATAGCATGCCCTGTGGAGCGTTTGTGCATATCTTTGCAACGTGTCCTCCAGTTCCACAACGCGTGCAAAGAGACGACCTGTCAGTCGGGTTGCAACATTCGACAGATCGACCACCCTATCCTAATTTTGCCCAGTTTTAGTACAGCCTTGGCCTCCGCAGCACGCAGGCATACAAGAGCAATTTGTGTGCCATTACGGGGCTTTTTCATGCTTTTGACGCTTGTTTTTTCCAGGTTTTTAATCCCACACTCCTTGTGTAGTGCCGCGCAGATTTCTTCGGGAGTTGTAATTTCGTCTAGGTCTAGGCCATTTCACCCACCGCTCCCTCTAAGACGCTTTGGAACGATTCGGCTTTCTTGTCTGCCTGATTTTTTAATTCAATCAGTAGGTCTCCTTTCATGGTTTTTCATATGTAGGTCACGTTTGAACCCAACTCTTCAAAACCGCTGACGCTTTTTATCTTCCGGAGAATATCAGCATATGACGCACCTTCCTTTTTGGTTGTGATGATGGCGTCCGGTTTCGTCCTTATTTTCTTCTGAATCGGTTTCCTCTTTTTAACAACGTCCACCCATTTTTCGCCAGCGCTATGTTGTTCTCTAGTGTTTTACTTTATTATTATCGTGAACTCACTGGTTGTTGGCTGCACTTTTTCAACAGCTTTTTTCGGTTTTTTCGTGGGATGTAAGGTCCCCGATGTCTCCCGCAGCCGTTTTGTGGTATTTATCTCTTTATAAATGGGAAATACTTGTGTTGCTTTCTCAACCATAAGTTTTTTCCGTTGATTC